TCATCAGCCACGGGTAGCCAACTCTAGTGTAGCAGCTGAAATTGCCGCCACCGGGACAAGTATATGCCCAAAATCGGATAGATCGGATGAACAACCCAGTTCCTTATATACTGTATATAAATACTATATAAAATGGACCGTTTTATCGTTTATAACACTAACTCACTACTAGTTGGCTTTTTAGACCGCCACATGTGGAATAAACTGCAAAAATTGCTTTGGCCGTCATTAACCCTTTAGCTCAACCGCACTTAGCCACAGTTTTGATTTACCCAAACAGCATGTTGTCCTAAATCCATGTACTTAGTTACCCTTCAGTTTTGCTTATTTACCGTTAAGAAACTCAACAGACTCCGCAAATAATTCTACTTGCCGGTTTTTCGAAACCCAAAATCGTAGATGACGGCTGTATTGCCCCTGGCAGCATTGCCATATTACGCCATCTACTCTCCATGTTTCTCGCAACTCCAGGAGGAGCACATTGTGGATCTCTAAACAGCAGTCAGTCCGCGAAATAGTTATAAAGGACTACCTGATTGTGTTATATGTACTTTCCACTTAGAAGTTTCTAGGCGCTATTTTGCTGTCATCGTCACTACTCTTAACCTCAGCTCCTTTATGCCGTCTTCTTTTTACATCTCAGCATATGCTTGACCAAGAGAAACATCACCTCAAGACCTTTGAAGAACTGATTCCCAAGAACCGTGTTCGTCCCACAGCGCTTCTTCCGATTTTCAGCATTGCTGCATATGCGGTTGGCGTCGCAACCGCTTTACTTGGCGAGAAGTCCGCGATGGCCTGTACGGTTGCTGTGGAGTCAGTTGTGGGCAACCACTACAACGATCAGATTCGAGAACTTCTTCAGGAAGATCCAAAGGCGCATGCTGAACTCCTACAGGTACTCACGGCCCGTTTTAATTATTTATGTTTCTTTTTTGGTTCCTTTTAGCTGTTTTTGGGTTTTCTGTGTCTAACTGCTCTTTCTGCCTACCCATATAATATGAAAACTGATATGTTGGGTACATTTTTTTAATCTCTAGACCCTCAAGCAGTTTCGCGATGAAGAGATGGAGCACCATGATACCGGTCTTGCAAATGAAGCCGAAATGGTGAGATGGGCGTTTCATAATTTGGCGCTTGAACTTCTTTGTTCACTACTTCTTACTTGGTCACATCCTTGATGTAAACTGACTTTATTTTCTGTAGTAGTGGGGCGCTTACCAAACGCGTTGTTCAGCAGTTCAAAGTCTCTAACATTGAGTCACAGGCTAGTTGTCTTGTCTGGTATGATCGAGTATATTAACTGTGCGAAGAGCACCGACTTATCGTGTTTCTGAGCATATGCGTTCCACCGTACCTTAGAGCTCACTCTCGAGCCGGCCAACAGCCGCATAGCGGTTACTATTATATGCAGAATAGTATTATTGACAAAGAAGGGGAATTGGAATGACAATTTCCGGCTTTTTAGCCTTTCAGAACTGTGGCTCAGTGTTTGGCGCATTAGAATTCTAATTGACAGGTCTCGTGCTCGGCCCTCAGATATGACTGGTTGATGGCGGCTAATAAATCAAAATGACCAGTGTAATCTCTCTTTGTCAGTTATTTTCTGTTGTTATTTTTCTGTATCTGTCCTTTTACGACACGAGTGGCTTATTTGCAGCATGCGTGCTTGCATTGTCACCGACACTTATCTGAAGCATTTGTTCCTGCTTTCAACCGATAGTTATGTCAGATATTACCAGTACCGTTAAAGTCTGTGCTAAGATCCACATCATCAGAGCAGTTACTGTTCTGCGATCGACCCTCGAGACCATTTATCAGGTTGGCTTTACTGTCCTAAGTGTTGAAGACATGAACCCACCTCTGTCTACAGGCCAAATTTTACTATATCTCCTAAGTTTTCAGGTAGTCACCATAATCCTTGCTCCAATTTGGCGGAGAATGTTGCGGATGAGTTCCTCCTTCCTCGCTAATGAAGCGCACTGCCAAGCGATATTTCCACGACACCAATAAAATGTGTCTCTATCAGCCAGTCAA